AGGGGGAGTAGGGGGAGTAGGGGGGCCAGTCGGGGGAAGGGTAGCCTCAGTAGCGCGACCTGGCGGTGAGGTGGCCAACCTGGCCGTCCCGGCCCTGCGGCTGGGCCGAGCCGGGGCCGCGGCTCAGAACGGTCCCGTGTGCGGCCTGGACAGGGACTGGATCTGGACAGCATTCTCCCTCCCGCACTTGTGTCTGTTTTTGTGTGTGTGTGTTTGTGTGTGTGAGTGTGTGACTGTGTGTGCGCGCGCGACCGACCGCCGCGAGTGACCCAACGGTAGTGAGACCAACACCGCCGCCACGATGGAGAAGAAGCTGGAGGCCCAGCTGGACGCCGAGTCCATGACCGCGGTCAACGTCAAGGAGTACGCGCCGTCGGAGGCCTTCAGCAGCGCCGAGCCCCCACCGGTAAGTGAGCTTCAGTACCCGATGACCCGGACCTATATCCTGTCATACAGTGTACTTCCCTGTCGCAGTCTCTATGTTTCTGTCTCTCTCACTCCTTTCTCTCGCTCTGTTTCGTCGAGCTGATCACGACGCTCACCTCCAGCGGTGCGGCGGGTGCCCTCAGTCGCCGCCCTTATAGGTCTCGCCGCTTCATTAAGTTCTATTTTTTTTTCGCCGGTATCGGTCGGGCTAATGGGAGGGAGATGGAAAGCTGGAGAGCGCCCCCGCCGCCCGCTCCAGCAGTACCCGCACAGGGATCCTTGCAGAGGTCGAGGGCCGGGCCGCGGATCAGATGGACGGCAGCGGTCCCGGCGCGGGAGGGTGATGGCTGAGGCGTGAGGCAGGGCAGGTCGGGCGGGAGAGGCGATAGATAGAGAGAGCCTCGAAGGGAGTTCGAGAAAGGCTGAGGAGGTTGATTAGAGTGCTCCCTCTCCTCAGCCTTGCGGCGACCCCGAGGTGCACTCAGGACCGGGGGCCCCCGCGGCACGCCCGAGGGCAGGCCGGTGGCGGCCGGGCCGGGCCTGGAGAGCAGAGTGGACCGCGGCCTGCTGCTGGTCGCCTCCGCGGCCTCGGCGCCGACCCGGGGGCGGGGGGCCCGGGAGAGCAAGAGAGTGGCAGAGAGCAAGCCGCGAGTCCATCGCACACAACAAAGAAGCAGAGCGGTGTTGTTGAGGCAGCCGCTTCGCAGGCTCACAGTCGGGTTGTCCCCCCTCCCTCTCCCTCCGCCCCCGCTCGTGTGGAGTATGCTCCAGTTTGGCGCCCCATTAACGGCGTGTGGTTTATGTTGTTGCGACTCGCCGTGAGAGGGAGGTGCCTCGGGAGGTGCCTCGGGAGGTGCCTCGTCGCAGGTGCTGTTTCCTCGCCCCGGCGCCGCGCTCCGTCCGCACGATGTGCCGTGGTAGTGAAGGGGTGCCTCGAGGCGCTGGGCGGAGGGGGAGGATGAGCGGCTTGTCCTTTGTCAGCTTTACCGAGTATAACAAAGTCAGAAGCTCGAGACAAAAAGTAGTACGAGAGAAGAAGTTTGGTCGGAAGATCACTTGCAGAGTGGTTCCATCCAGGGCGTGATAACTTTAAAAAACGTTATTTCACTTTTTCGGCATTATCTTTTGAACGGGAAGACATATGAGCGTGAACGAGTGATTAGTAGAAAGATGAACGCTCACTGAATTTTCGTTACCCTATCATCGGAAGTCCTCAGACTACTCCTTGTACCCTAAAATAATTTTCGTTCCAAAATGATTT